ATACACATTTTTACAACATTTTTACGAGGTTGCTGTCGGTCTTATAAGCGTTTCCTCAGGTTATGCTCGTTTTTTTTCTCGGGGGTCCTCTGTTCGCCAGCATGGGGTTAATTCCCCCTGCGAGGTGCTCGGGTTTCCCGCCAGCTGTCGGTACCCTCAGCTGTTTGTACTCCTGTCCCTGCAGCCCAGACAGCTTGGTCACACGCTCACACACACACATTCTGTGGCACAACGGCAGTGAGGGGGTGCGATAAATGCCACGGTCACCACACTGAAGCTCTCCTGGTACACCACCTCCTCGTTCACCTCCTACTTCATTTTTATCATCATAATTGGTTAATAACTGTCCAGCTGCATGATTATATCAGTCACCACTTTATGTCAAACTAAAGCTCCAAGACTAATTGTTCCTGGCTGCTTAAATCGCAAGTAGTCGATGAATTACTGTACTGTTGCTTTTAAGTTAGGACATGACAACGGCAAGTCGTTCTTTGTCAGGCCCCTCCCCTGTTCCGTTTTCCCGCTGCTGTTTAACTAACTCTAACTAAAGCAGTTAAAAGGACCTTGGACTGTCAGAGGCCCCAAGGAGAGCCAAGATCTGCAGATGGACTCCACACTCGGCACGTCGCTTGTGTATACGTGTAGTGACTCACAGCAGAACACACATGTGCAGCTATGTGTGCGTCAGGAGTGTGAGAAGGCCGACTGATTAATTATTAATCTTCTGAGTGCCATCAAATACAAGCACCGACGTGTTTAGCCATTGTGGTCAGGGAAGCTCGGTGATGAAGAGATGAGATCCCCCTGTCTGTGTGGTTCTTATTGGCTAAAAAGCCAGGCTGGATGCCTTTAAGTCAGTCAAACTGCAGCCAACTCACTCGCTCAGGTTGATGCTGTTCTCCTTTCTCTGCTTAACCTGGTCCAGTTTGCTAAGCTTGACGGTCGCTGCTCTTTCAGTGGATGGGGCCACAACTTGCTTCAAGCCGAGCCTTCTCTCCAGAGAATATGACCACGTTTTAGGGTCAGAATTGCCATTCAGCTCGGAAAGTCCCCTCGAACAATTTCATAAGCAAAGGGCAAATAAGGGGTGAGTTACGTTGGACCACAAAGTACCAGGCAGGTGGTGAATACAATGTATCCCCCTAATATTCTCTCTATCGAGGCTTTGCTATATCGAGGCTAACTTATTGCGCTATTATGAGTCACACAAATGAAAAACAGATCCCAGTTGTATTTATAATTTCAAAGTCAAAATTCCCAAAGAGTACACTCCTCAGTCCTGTTGAGAGCAGCCGCTTTGGGGGGCGTTGTCCTGTCACACACAAATGAGCTCACTCCGCCCCTTTACTGCAGCGTGTGGCGACGTGAATACGGCTTTGCCTTACCGTAACGATTACGAAATGTGCACCGTGGTAGGAACAGCCGTATACAGTCTGTTTGAAACAGAGTTCGACCCAGGGCAAGATGAGACTGCCAAGCCAATTTTAGAGCCACAGTTACAACGGGATGTTGAATGCATGGTTATCAGGAACTTTTGGCTTATGGGCTTTCTGGTGCTGATGGCTCTGCTAGCCAACTGCTACCGTGTAACGATATTGTGTCTGTTTATGTGTTGATTATTAGAGAATCCTGCAAATTGGTGCACCCAACCACACTGTAAAGTCTTGGCTTTGAAGCCATTGTGGTTCCACAGATTATGGCTGTCATGGATGGAAAAACTTGATTTAAATCAAAATCTGAATGAATGACTTACACAGTAGACACATTTTCTGACATCTGCAGCTCATGGCATGTAGAAAATGGCATAGTTGTGTGATTCGACTCTTAATTTATGGGCAGGCAGTTTACAGTGTGTTCCAAGTTATTGACTAGACAGTTTCCAGATTTTTTTTTTTTAATGACGGAAAAGATGGCAATGACTGGCAGGGCCCAACAGACACGTCTCTTGCTTGAGATTCAGTCCATGAACTGTATGAAAGACTCTTGCAAAGAAAATATTGCTCCGTGTAGACTGAGAAGCATTTTCTCCCTCCTTTCAAGCTAAAAAAGAAAACAATAGTACGGTATTTTAAAATAATGTCCATTTGACATGTAGTTCCACACCACTGCCAAGTCAATTACTACCAGAGCACGTGTTACAGTAATACATTAATGCAGGGGTGGCCAACCAGTCAGACACAAAGAGCTATTTTTTTTTTTTAACTGTGTTCCTGCAAAGAGCCACATAGACATGGGCATCCCGTCCTCGCGCATGCGCACGCACTCACGCGCGGGCGCCCAACCATGCACTCGCGCACGATGAGCAACAGCCAGAACGGCCTGAACATGAACGAAAGCTAAAGACACAAACACACAAATCCCCTCCTTCCACCCCTTGCGGTTGACTTGGGACCAGTCCGCTGGCTCCCGGTCAATTGTGATCGACGTATTGGGCACCTCTGCCTTAACATCAGAGGTAATTCGCTGACTAGCTTAGCGCTTAGCACCGTTGTTTGCGCATGAGTGTTGATTCAGTCATCTGATTGGTTGCCCTCTATGTCAATCAAGTAACGGGATCGATGTTCGGCTGACGTAGTACGTTCTGTATATTTAGCGCCGTCGTTTGAATGGTATTGCCACCGCCGAGGCGTTTTCAACGCTTGTCGTGTGAAAGTCCAGGAGTCGCATTGAACCAGCCAAAGAGCCGCATGCGGCTCGCGAGCCGCAGGTTGGCCACCCCTGCATTAATGCATCAAATCTGATCTTGAGCATTGATTAATCCTTACCCTTAGCAATAAAATGGGTCAGTCCTTGAGCGTTTATCTGTCGTCGTTATCCCTTCCTGGCGTTTTACTTTGTTTAAGATAGTGGATGACGGCAAAGTTATTTTAAATATACATTGTGGGATTTTTGTTGTTTCGTGTTGAGTTTGACGGTAAACCTCAAGAGGGAGTGGCGCTATACATCTCGAAGCCTCCTTTTTGAACAGTTGTCCAACTGCCGCTTGTTGTGATTTGAGTTGAGTTCAACGCCATTGTATGGTGCCATGCTCTCAAGCTTTTTCTTGCAAGTCAGAGCAAAAAAGTGGCTGAGCAACGTGCTCGTATTTCAAAAAACTCATAAGTTAGGTAAAGGCGTTATTGCATGAGTAAATTGAATGAAGAGCTCAGTCACAGAAGAAATTAAACTTGCAGGTGAAGTCACCACTTTGGTTCCTTGGCAACAGGATGCGCCAAAGCCTTGTCGAATAGATAAGGAGGCCAGCCATGCTGTCTGCTTGACAGGGATTTGGTGCCATCTTGTGGCATCTTATGGTGTTGCGGAAAAAGCACAAAAATAGCAAAGATGGGTGTTTTACAGTGAATAACAGAAGTAAAAAAGAATCTGTGAATGTGTAAGTAGCAAAAGGCAACAAGGTGGTGGCACACTGTGTTTGCACTCTCATGTTGCACTTTTATTGTACATTTCCTTCCGATGTCTTCTCACTTGACTGTTACAAGGTGATGGAAACTAGCTTGTTTATTTACAGTCGGATCCAATCGTCTCCTCTTGTGCAGCTCAATCAGCAACACATCCTGCTCTGCTCATCAATGGATTTTCACATTAGCATACTGTGTGGTCAAGCGTCATTCAATCATACGTTGTGTGTGCATTTGCGCCTTTTGTAGGGATGTTAGAGTGGTCAAGGTTGTCATGGCAACATAACATGCTTTTTTGTTACTCCGGTATATTTGAATGCGGCTGAACTCAACTATTATAATGGATGAATGAACAACAACCCAAACCATCCGGGATAGTCGTTCAGTTGAACCCACATCGCAACTGACAACTTTTGTTTTTGCCAAGCAAAAGAGTGAACTTGTAGTTGTACATGTGGCTGCAATTAGAGAGGTTCCAGTCTGTACCTTGTTTGTGTCACGTCTGGTCCCTGCCGCCCGTCCATTGATTCTTGAAATTATCGTGCTTACTTTAAACCCTCCACCGCTTACTCGCCTCCATGCATCCAGCTGCTTTTGGGAGGAAAAGCCCCATTAAGGTTGTTATTGTAGTTCCCCACAAGTGAATGTCTGCTGCGACCACACTGTGTGGAGAAGCAGGACAAAAATGCAACCTCCATTTGTACACCCATGCACTCGTTTCATACACCGACTTATTGTAAGTCAAGGGGTGAGTACACCTTGGACTGTTCACTAGTTACCGGTCATCAGTTGCATGTACTGTGGCAGATTTTGAGCCAACATGCTATCCATCCCCATCTTCACAAATCTCAACTTCACAGTTCACATTTTGAGAATGTATGGAGTGGAGGCCACAGCTCGCAAAGGCACACGTGCAACATTACAGTTGTTTCCGTGACGTTCGGCTTATAGTTTTATACATTAAAGTTCTACATTAAAGGTTCTTTTGTTTCTTAGGGAATATCAATTAATTTCGTTACAGAAAGGTGATTTGAATGGATTCATTTGATTCCACAACAGCAATACTCTCTTCTAGTATATGACTTTGTGTGCGTGTGCGTATGCGTGTGTTTCTAAAGGGGGTATTTTTAACAGCTGGCATGTCCTGAAGAGAGCTTATAAAATGTATTTAAGAAAAAATTTCATGAGTTCACCTACAGAGAGATTATTGCCACAGGGGGGATGCATGGAATATGTTGAGTTGAACTGATGATTTTATTTATGCATGCATGCATGCCAACGCTTTCTTGTGTCTTTTTAAGGCTTGTCTGGGTCTGTGCAGCATTCACCCTTGATCTGAACTGAATTGAACAGCCAAATGAGACCCGCCTCCTCAAGTGGTCTGGGTCCACCTGTGTGATAATGTTCACATTCGTCTCAGAAATTGTCATTCCAAATCAAAATTGTTTTGTTTGTTTTCACCAAATCAAGTGTGAAAATGAGTAAGTATGAACTAAATCTCAAAGACGAGGTGAATCAAAGCTTTCAAGATGTCCTTTTTTTCAATATTGTTTCCTTTGCCGGAGATGATGTAACTGGTATTTTCTCTATCTGTTGCCTCAGGATACTTTGAAACCCACGTTCACAGTAGCCGGCCTACCAGGCGGTACCAGCAGCGCCCAGGCCACCGTGCCCACCACCTCCACCAGCATGCAGGTGAGCAGCGGGCCCAACTTTCCCATCACCAACTACCTGGCGCCCGTCTCCGCCAGCACCAGCGTCAGCGCCAACGGGACTGTCCTCAAGACCACCGGCACCTCTACGGGCGTGATGCAAATACCTGGTGGCTTCACTTTCATGCCTGGTAGGTCGAAGCATTCTGTTGTTTGTGTGTTTTCTTGATATTTTTTTGATTTATTTATTTATGCATCACGTAGTCCCTGTGACTCGCACAGACGCGTTTGGCCGAGTGACTGCGTGGTTAGCTGATTCGAATTTAAATGGAACCTTGCCAACATCTCGAGCGTCATCTCGGGCCAGTCGTGCTTCACTTGTCAGGCTGTTTACATCACGCCTTTCAAAGCTAGTCACACACACTCACAGCCTTTTGATATCCACTCTCATACAGGAATAATTAGGTGAGGGGGGCACAATAGGCCTGGGAGCGAGGGCTGCAGAACACGGCCTAAAATTTGTCATGAATATTCAGCTACGCATCATGGCTTGTGATGACAGGAAATATACTTGGTGAAACTGCGGCTTGGTTTTGAACTAGATGTCGATGTTTTTCCCAGTAAAACTCAGGAGAGTTTGACTCAGGACTTTGAGGGGCGGGCACACTTCAATTTGGGGGTGCCAATCGGCTTCCCCAGCGATGATTCCGGACATTTCCTTTTTCTGTTGGCAGCGGAAGGAAAAACTGGGAGGGCCTATTTAACGTACCGATGGGCTTGCCCATCTAATGTGCATCCTCTGGTGATGCAGTTGTTTGAAACATGTAACTGTATTGCTCCGGAGGCGGCGACGTGAGAGAGCATTGCACTCTACGGGAACACCAACAAACTGCAACTGCCCTTCAAGTCCTTGGAGGAGGAATTCAAGGTATCGAGAGCCAGAGAAGTGGTTCAGTACAGGGACTCAAGTGATCCGATGGTGGCTAAAGCAGGGATCCAAGTGAGGACTGGCAGGAATTGGAAGGCAGAGGAAGCAGTTCAAGAGGCAGATGCAAGGCTGCGTCACAGGAGCCTGGTGGGAGTGGTCACACGAGGTCGAGCTGGGCTAGGATCTTTTCCAACCCCCCAAATGAACACCAAGGGGAAGGAAGGGCGACATCTTGTTCAGGAGGAGGTGAGAGCAGCAGTGGAGGAGACGAGAACCTGCAAGGCAGTGGGAATGAAGCAACAGGGAGCTTGGACGAGATGGGAGAATGCGGTTGAGAGGAAAGTGACCTGGGCTGAGCTCTGGAAAGCCGAGCCTCAACGCATAAAATTCCTTATCCGGGCAGTGTATGATGTGCTGCCAAGCCCGTCAAACCTGTACACATGGGGCATAGCAGAGACACCAGCATGCCCATTGTGTTCCAAGCGAGGAACCCTGGAACACATCCTCAGTTGCTGTACAAGGGCACTTGGAGATGGACGGTACAGGTGGAGGCATGACCAAGTCCTTAAGACCATCGCTGAAGCCATCAGCACAGGACTTGAGTGGGCAAAGCAGTTCCGACCCTCCAAGAAAACCATTGCCTTTGTCAGAGCTGGGGACACGGCAACTCCTGCCAGAAGAACATCCTCTGCAGGCATTCTGACGTCTGCAAGAGACTGGCAGTTGTTGGTGGACCTTGAACATCAGCTGAAGTTCCCCAGCCATATTGCAGTCACCACTCTGCGACCAGACATTGTCCTTGTGTCTGAGTCCACCAAGCAAGCTGTCCTGCTGGAGCTGACAGTCCCGTGGGAAGATCGCTTGGAAGAGGCCTTTGAGAGGAAACTCTCCAAGTACGCAGGACTGGTCAGCAATTGTCAGCAGGCTGGTTGGAGAGCAAGGTGTTTCCCCGTGGAAGTTGGATGCAGAGGATTTGCAGCCCGTTCTTTGGCCAGAGCCTTCAGCAGTTTCGGCATCGAGGGAGAGAGAAAGAGGAGAGCCATACGCAGTATCACTGATGCGGCTGAGAGAGCCTCAAGATGGCTGTGGCTCAAAAGAGGGGAGCCATGGAGTCATGGTAGCTAGTTAGCCATCTGGACACAAGCTGGGGTCTGATCAGCCCTGGTTGGGTCACCTGGGGGAGGGCGTATGATGTTGAGAGACCCGAAACGCCCTATGATCTCAGGAATACATCACTGATGATGTGTCCAGATAGGCATCAGTAGATGTATGTACACAACGCATTTAAATACCCGTTTTTGAGAACCGTTCAAAATGGTGATGCAGTTGTTTGAAACATGTAACTGTATTGCTAAAGGCAATATTTGTATCATTGCATAATGTTTGTTTAGAGGCAGAATTTAACTGCATATCATGACCCCGCTTCAGTTAGTACAGAAACGTGTAGAACATGCTTAGATGGTCATCGCCTCCCTTCCTCTATGGTGTCAGACTGTCGGTGCCGCTGTCCGCGTCACTTGGTAGCTGTGGTCTTCTGCCACAGCCGAACAGTCACATGGTGGTCGCTATATCATTGGGACTGCTAGCGCAATAATAGCCATGCTGCTCCTGTTCCTTCTTCGGTCTTTTTGCTTCTTCCTCCCCTGCAACCTTCCCTGACATGATCACTCACGGCCACACCAACACCCCTTCCAATGTCCGCACTGTGCCACCTGTTATTTTATAACATTAGCATGTGGAACAACACACCCAAGCTTAGCACCTTTTTGACGAGCATGTGACTAAATGTGAGGGTGTCACACATCTGAACAAATTTGCGAAACGCTTGTGGAACATTTGCACATATTATGCACGTGAAGAAGAGAAGAGGGAGATCCCAAATATGTATTATTTTCTGACATGTACTGCAACGGATTGTTTGAATCATCAAGCTGCTACAAAATGCCTTTTTTACGATAACTTTATGTCTCCGTGTCAAAAGGTGCTGTGGCTTCACTCAACGAATGACGTCTAATACTCTAATCGTAAAAAATAAAAAATCAGCCCTCATAATAATAATGCCCAGTTTTTTATTTCTGTCAAGAGAGAGAGAGTGTCGAAATATACCGCATTAGCAAGCCACCGCAGATAATTTAAAAATGAATCCCTCATTGCGTTATTAAATTTCTGGGAGGGAAATCTTCGTGTGGCTGCTGTATTAGGTCCAATTAGTTTGTGCAGAGGCGCTCAAGTGCATAATGGCATCATCGCTGTCTTGTACCTGGGTCGGATAAACGAGAGAAATTTAAAAACCCATCCATGCGGCATTCAAATAAATGGCGCGACTCTCACCTGACTCTCATCACTCAATGTCATGCTGGGCCGCGTGTGCATGTGTGTGCGCGCCGATAGTTACAGCACTAAAATGATGCGAAAACAATACTAAACCTGAAAAGCACCATAATTTTGCTTTGAGAGGTTGTTGACACTTGATGTTGATTTTTATTGGTGATGCGAAAACAATACTAAACCTGAAAAGCACCATCATTTTGCTTTGAGAGGTTGTTGTTTTTTTCTTGTACTGGCGAAACCAACCTTTGCATAACTGAGCTTCATAGTACATAAGGAATGCAACTCAGTGTAGCCAGAAACTGTTTGTTGAAGCTTATTTGTAGGCCCCGTTGGATGACGCTGAATCTCAAACTGTGTTATATAAGGAACGGGCTTGGAGAATATAGTATCAAATCTCCTCAGCGTGATGACTGAATGTGTGACTTTGCGTTTATTCACAGGGTGTTCCCCTGCTAGTCGAGAATAAAATAGAATAGCGTTTTAGTTGGCCATGGGGACGGTGCCCAGCCACAAATAGTGAAAATCTGCCAGGAATCGCCCTAACAAAACATTCGGAATTGCCCGTAGATGCCATAACATGGCATTTGTCTAAACTAAGCTCTTCAACTCATGTAAACACAGTTCCTTTGTACCAAGATGGTGCCAAAGCAATGCCGTTATTGCCAAGCAATACTGTTTTTCCTTTGGCTTGGGCACAAAAATGGTCAATAGCGAAAAAACAAAATCCGTGAAGGCTGAATTGCAAATACGCGGGACTGAACTGTACACTATGCCGTTTTACGAGTTCAGTATTTAAGTTTCCTGATCACAACGTACTCATGGACAAAAATACATTTCTTCGTGATATTTTTCGTGTTGATTTCCTTCTGTGTGGTGATTGGGCACTGCTTTGTGATCTCATCTGTATGGCTTCTGTCTCTCTGAAGTGTGCCTTTCTCCACACAGCAGCCTTTTCTCACATTCAGTCCTCTGCCACTCTGTTCTGTGTGTGCGTGCGTGTGTGTGTGCGTGTGTGTGTCTGAGTATGTGCGGCTGCCTCCTTCAGCAGGCACTCCTCTCCCCCCCGGCACCCCCACCATTCCTCTGAGCCAGCTGCAGCAGCACTCCCTGACTCTCCAGGGGCAGCATGGTCAGACTCTGACCGCCGCCCCTCAGCCTCAGCAGGGCCAGCAGGCCGTCTTCCGCTTCCCTGCTGCTGTCTCCCTCACAGGTGACCTGCTCTGGCCTGCCACCAATCCTACTACGACTACTACCGTGCTATTAACCACCACTGCTGCTGCCCCGATTCGCTGCCTGGCTCGCAATCAGGCGTCTAAATTCTTCACAAGGCTTCATCTAACGCACAACGACGGCGATTCTCATGTTCTGGTTTGTTTGTTGTCTTGTTGCTCAGTTGCGTGACTTCCTGTGTGTGTCTTATCACCAGGGGCGGGTGTCCCTCAGCAGCTCCAGGCCATTCAGGTTCACCCCAACACCCAGACCATCTCCAACAGTGAGAGCAGCCCCGAGATGTCCCACACCTCTACAAACTCCACGGGTATATCGAGTACATACATTTTACCTAACCACTTTGGAGGGGGAAACGGCCACATCAACCCTAAGAAGTATTGCGGGACTCTCAATAATGTAAATGCTTTGGTAGGCTAGATTAAACAAAAGAAACTGAGTGGGCTGCATGTTTCCCATAGGTCGATGTTGTCAGTAAGTGAAGGACAATCCGGTAATAAAATGCAAACTTAAAGAAGACAGGCATTATTTTGACTATTTAAAGAGAAATAAATGAAACCCAAGTCAGGTTCGTCAAAAGACCCCACAAATCAAGGGTTACACTTTCGCTTGTGGAGTCAGTGCTTCGTACACTTAGCCATTAGTGCGGTAGTCCGTGTATTTGGTGCATCATGGAACAGATGCAATGACCAAACCACCACTTGCTGTATGTACATGCCACTCATTAGAGCGAACACTGTTGGCTAATGCTAATCGGCGCATGCAACAAAAATGCAAAGCAGCGCTATGAGGTTGGATGTGAAAGTGTTTTAGACAGTCTCGTCTGGCTGTGGATTGAAAGTGGCAGGGGAGCACTGAGAAACTCAGTGTGGGGGCAGTTATGATGTAAATGACGTGAATTAGCTGCGAATGTCACAGTTTGCAAAATTCAGAACCGCAGTACACATTTCCAGAAAAGATCCATTTGGTTGTTTAATTTCACGCCGGATGAGCGGGCAAGGCACTCTGGAGATGCAACGGCAAAGTATTTGTGTACAAGCAATTTAGAAAATCACTTGTCCCTAATATGTCCCCTCTAATGAACGTGATGATATTGTCATTATATTTATTTTGTAACAACAATCATGTGTGCAAGTTATGACTTACCTCTTAATGTCTTCTTGAACATTTTGTTTTTCTTCCCACCTCAAGACTCAAATTTGAAAATGCCCCCCCCCCCCCATTTACATTAGTGTAGAAGTGATTCTCTCACAGAGTAGAAATTCTAGGAGGAAGACATAGGCCAGTTCGAATAAAACAGTCGATACAAAATCGTGATCTGCTTCTGTCCATTCTGCAAAAATGTGAGTTGTTTTTTTTTTTCATATGTAAAAATTTTTGGTCTGCAAATTTTTTTTGGGGGGGGGGATACCCTATCCATGATCAATTTTACACTTAACAATTTGTATTCGTTTGAATAAGGTCATTAGTTGGTTCATGAGGATGAACTTAAATAATGACATGAGAAAAAGTAAATCATTGTTGCCAGTTTGCATATTAGACTGACCGGTTCACACTTTGTTTTTTCTCAACCTGTCTGTTTTAAAGAACTCTTCGCCCTTGAGCCCGCAGTCCATTGAGATATACTTCATTTCCCAAGAGGGCCGAACTAGGACAAGCCCAAAAAAAGGATGCCTAGACTTGTTTTATTTGAAAATAAGCGCCACCTCCTGGCGGCTAACTGCACACGCGTGTGCGCACGCACTTTGTCCTATAGTTAGCTAGTTATAATAGTTAGCGCATCTTTCTGTCAGCTACGGTGAGTCTCCCGGCGACCATCGTCACCTCAACGGTGCCGTCGTCTGTGGCCGGTCACATGATGTACCCCAGCCCCCACACGGTGATGTACGCATCCACGCCCGCGCTGGCTGACGGGGGGCTCGCCGTGCTCAACGCCTTCTCCCAGGGCACGTCGGCCATGCAGGTTTCCCACGCGCAAGCCCACGAAGCAGGTAAAACAACCACACACACACACACACACACACGTGCACCTGCGTACGAAAGAAAAGCCCTTTTAGCATTGATTTGATGCAAGCGCGACAACTGAAGGGTCTTCCTCTCTCTCTTGCTCCCCCCCTGGCAGCGTCTGTCCCGCAAGTGTTCCTCACGGCCCCTCCAGGAACAGTGCAGATCCCCGTCTCGGCGGTGCAACTTCACCCAGTACGGCAAGATCTGCATTTCACAAGTGAAACTCTGCTCTTCCCTCTGCAACCCGCATGTCACGTGACCTCGCCACCCATTAACAGAGCACGCGGGCGTCACCTGCCACCACGTTCCGCCAATGTCGTGCAGTCAGGCTCATAAATGTGTTTTGATAGGCAGCACTTGGGTCAGTGGTGAGCATGTCTGCCGCGCGGTTCTGTGGTTCAGGGTTCGAATGTGGGCACAGACCTCCCTTGTGTGCAGTTTGCATGGTCTCCCCGTGTTTGTGTGGCTGCAGGGAAATGTTCACTTGAAGCACCAAAAATATATTTGCGCTACTTTTGTACAAAAATAACCAGATCCATTTTTTTATACCCTCGTCAGCGACTCCTTCCGTATAAGAAATAGATATCCACAAACTTACATCACATTCGGTGCACCTGCACAATTTTAACGATCATAATATTAATCATTTTTTATCCGTGACAACGTGTTGTTGTTCTGAATCAAACAATGTGTATTCTTAACGTGGATGTTGTTGTGTAAGGCTGCGCTGCATCATACTGAGAGCTGTTTCTAATATTTCACTCGTGCTGGCCTTTCAAATATGCAATGCATTTCTTTATATTCGCATTACTTGAAAGCAGCCAGGGAGCCAAGTGTGCCCTTGGGGGCCACATACGGCCCATTCGTACTTACTGGGCGGTTCCATTATTAACAGTCTTATATGTTTGCTCGAATTTGTGGGGGGTTTTCCTCCTACAATTGGCTGGTCAAAATGTATTCATCCCCCCCCCCCCATCTTTTAATTTACGTAAATACATAATTACAAGGTTTTTCCTTGAACAAAGAATACAGAAATTATGATCTATACTTTTTTATTCTATATGATAATCAATCAATTATAATTTATATATATTCATGAATAATAAAAATGAGAATTATTTAATTATGAAAAAAATACACCTTTTAATTTTTTTTCAAAATCATATGACCATTTTAAAGCTCAAACGGGACCTTTAAGTACAAATCTTTGCCCAGCCCTGCCGTAAGCACTTCTTATAAACAGATATTAGCCCAGAAATAGAGTGCAAAACAAATTCGACGGGAAATTCAAACATGGAGCTGATGTTTAACAGTCTCGGCAAACTGAGAAACAGCCGTCAGTCCGATGATGCCAAGCCCTCATTGAACGTCCTGGCGTCGGGCAGGCGTACCTAATGAAGTCCCTGCTTAGCGAGTGCCCAGGTTCACGCCTCGGCTGTGTTTGCATTCCAGATGGTGATTGGGCCCCAGTCGAGCGGCAGCAGCACTAACCTGACCGAGTTGCAGGTGGTCAACTTGGACGCGGCGCAAAACTCCAAAAGTGACTGATGGAGGCAAGCGAGAGCGTCTTTCTCTTTATTTATTGATGCCTTCCTACATCACACTTCTCAATGTGACCTTACATACAAACACACAATCAAGGGCCTGTGTGTGAATTGACCTTTCGCCCGTATGTTTTGGTATGTATATATATACATATATCTATATATTCGCAAATGCATAGGAAGTATATCACTACACGTGTCATCAGAATCCTATTTTCGATGTCATTAGATGGTATTTTTGTGTGTGCGTGCGTGTGCACTTTTTTTTATTGCTTGTTTTTGAAGATACAATTACATGAACACTCAGTTGGGGGTCACAAAGTGTCACGCCAGCCAAAGACGTTTGTATGAATGTACACACACACGCGCGTCTGTGTGTGTCAATGGAGAATTATGACTTGCTAATCTGTATATAGTTTTTAAAGATGAAAAAAAAAAAAAGCAAACAACTCATATTTTTAACCTGGTTTAGTTTTGTGTAACGGCATGGAGGTTTTTTTTGTTTTGTTTTTTGTTTGTTTGTTTTTTTTTTTTTTTATGTTGTGGTTTTGTATGTACATGACAATGACACCAAGAAGTGAATCTGTACATGTATACTGTTTGGGAAATATTTGAAAATGCTTTTCATGCTGTTCTACTACATGACTGCTTCACAAAGACTCAAGCAGGTTTGTCATGTGGGGGTGAGGACACATTGTTACGTGGAGTGCAGACTGTTGGTGGACATTCATAGGAATCTGATTGCACAGAACCACAATTAAATTGGACAAGTGTGGACAGTGCGTACACCAAACTCTATCGCACAACATTCAGTGGAACCTTCAATGTTGAACCCAATCCATCATGCGAATTGTTGTGATTGGATGGACGGATCGCGTTCATGCAACTCAAAACGGTTGCCATTCTGAAAGCTTTAAATGTACACGACAGGCAACGTCTTATGTCACATTTTAACATCCCTACACACAAGTTCAAACATCTCTAAAACTACATTAAAGCAAAACTACTCACCATTTGAAGATGCAGAGTAGCTGCAAAGTAACGAATGTTTGTTGACGTGTTTCACTGGTAGTTTCTGTACTATTTATTGGAATCTGCTTGCAAAAAAAAATAATATACCGGTAATATGCAATGTAATCATGCCCACATTGTGTTGAGCAGTCTGATTGTTTGCATTTCAGTTGCCCTTTACACTTTTCCTTTTCCAATTAAAAAAAAAAAAAAATGCGTTGTTGATGCTTTAGCTGCTCACTGAGCGTGACGTAATAATTTCAGAAATGCCCACTTTTTTCTCCAGAAACTTTTAGTTGAAATGCAAATTGTGGTAAGTTTAACTTTGGAGGTTCCACTGTTAATTAGGGGTAGGTATTTAATATTGATCCTTATTTAAATTCAGATGGATTCTTTTGTCAAAGTTGTGACATCACAACACGCGCTGCTGCAAAATGTGCTGCCTTACTTGCTGGACGTTCAAAGACACGACAGCAACACAGCTTCAATATTGCAATTAAATATTTGTTTGATTCTCAGTCAAACTGCAGTGGTCATTTTCAGTGTCATTGTTGTATCACCAGTGGGTTTTTAATTCATTGGGTGACATTTTTTTTTTTTTTTTTGAATCAGAGATGCAAGTAAACATTTCTAGATGATTTTTTGCACTGGTCCCTTGTTTTGTTTTTTTAATCTAGCACATCGTTTTCAGGGTAATATAACAATATATGTAAAATCGGATAATGGATTGATATATTTATGAATTAGCCTTCAGCAACAGATGGGATTTTTTTTTTTCTGAAACATCAATTAAAAATTATTATGCATGGGAGAGTCAGTATCATACAAGCTTTTGTCGGTCAAACTTAACAATGAAAATATCTCAAAAACCTGATGTGCTAGGAAAAAGGAAAGACTACCGGTATATATATTTTTTTCAAATCAGTCAAAAAAATACATTTAGGGACAAATAAGGCCATCTCTGATCAAAATGTCTTTTTTTTTTTTTTTTTTAAAGCACCATAGTGCCTCTTTTCCCGGACTGATTTTTGTACTATTACATTTTTAAATTTTTTTGCAAGACACCTTAAAAAGCTTTGCTCAGCTAAGCCACAGTTCCACATGTGTAACATTGAAGGTACCGGTAGTAAGTTTACTACCAAAAAAAAAAAAAAACTTTTTTTCCCCCTCGCGATGTGTTCTGACACAGGTGTGTTCAGCACCCAGTACCGGTGAACAAAAATGACTCTCCGTAGTAATACAGGAGTATGTTTTGTTTTTATTGTACAGATATTTTGTAATAAAAACAAGATCAAACATGAATGAACCCAGTTGGAATACATCTTTTATTCAGATGGAGAAAGTTGAACAAGAGCGCATTGTCCCAACAGCACTGAAGTCAAGATTGCTCATAAGGGAGAAATAAAGTGGGTGAGAACACATTAGGCTTGCTTTCTCAAATCCTCAGTGAAGCACCAGGAGGGAAGATCATGCACCATATGTCTCACGTTTGCATTGCACAAATGAAAATAGACAGAAAAAAAAAGAAACAAGGCTTCCCCTGCTTCTTGTTGGAAAAGAAGCAGAAAGACTCTGAGAACAGTAGTGACCGGTCAACATCGAAGAAAAGCAAACGAGATCAGTCACGGCCATGACAAAGTGAGCTGATGTAACCAAATAGATGACGAGAAAGAAGTACTAAGGCATCACATGTCACGGAGAACTCAGCCAATTAGCCTTCTGCTCTCTTCCAACAAAGAAAATAATGCCGCGGCATTCTTTTGACACCAGGTAGTATCCTTCTATATTGCTATTGTACACATACAATATACTGAACACACAAAGTTGGTAAGATGGCTGATTATAAAAGTTGCATGAAAAAAGGCAAGTCCTGCAAAATAGGAACATTACTCCTGTGATACACTATTTTGGGGGGTTAAGAGTGGGGGGGGGGGCAGATTAACTTTTGTGTTATTTACATAATGAGCAAGTGTGAAGAAATACAAATGTGCAAGTGTGACTGTTCAAGCACTTCCATCAACAGGTCAAGACCAAAAGAGACCAACACAAATCTCTCTCAAACCTTCCCACACAAGGGCTGAAACACGAATCTCAAAATGAATCAAACACCAAAGACACATGGAGGAATATCTTGAAGTTTCTCATCAAGTACTCCAAAAGAAGTGTGGTAAGATGTTGATTTAAAGCAACCTACACCTGGCCAAAGAATACGTAACAATATAGTACACATTTGGGTCATCCAAGACACAACACTGCTTTTAAATACACGTTTGTATAAGAAGGCATAGAAACATAGAGGAGCTCAGTGGCTCGGGGTGGGGAACGGAACGGTGAGAGAGGCCTTGTATCTTTGTACAAATGTAAGCGAAAATGTAACAAGTGCATGTGCAAAAGTCCGCCGGCTCCTAAACACCACATTGGATGGTGAACTCTTTGGATGACGATGAAGCTTCGTTTTGGATGAAGGAAATAAATCATCTGCCCGTCGACTGCATTAAAAGCATCCAAATACCATGATGGTTTAAAAAGAAAGCAAATCAATAAATAAGAGGACTTGGCATTTTAAAAGGACAATGTTAACTGCATGTCTTCAAGCATGGAAAACACGAAAGATAAAAATGCTCCATAAACAAAAATGGTGTGCTTCCACACTAAGGCGATGGCATCCATGGCTGCAAATAAATACACGCATCTTTTTGTCCCACACACAAAACATCCATCATGATGATGATGATGATGAGGAGGAGGAGGAGGAGGATGGTTGGCTGGGCAGTGAAAGTGAACACGCAGAGGTTGCCCATCTTCAGTCTTGTTCCTCTGCTGCATGGGCAGTATTGAACCTCAGGAACACACAGCCCATCAAGTCCCGACAGTCGCGTCAAGAAGAGCGGGCGAGCCGTTATGGCGACGTAGAGGCGGTGGCGTGGTATTTGACAAAAGCGATGGCCGCCAGCTCTTTGCAGAACTCCTCCAGCACGATCACCCCCTCCAGGAGAGTCACGTGGTCGATCCTGGTCGGAGAGACGGGATCAAAATACGACTGCTCGTTTGAGCGACAGACGAGCGAGCGCTTGCGCCAAGACGCCGTACGTACGTGATGCCCTCGGGCTCCAGACCCAACAATCTCTTCCTCACCAGCAGCAGTTTGGGGGTGAAGTCGGGGATGCGCTGAATCCTCAACATGAGGTCCCCCACGACCTGACAAAAAAAAAAAACACACAAGGTTTGCCCTTCTTGCAAACACATGACATGTTAAGACTCCAGAAAGATCCTTGAAACAAATGGGTTAAACTTACCCTGACGACAACAGAGAACAAAGACCTGCATCCGGGAGCCAAGTTGACGTAGGGGTCCAGCAGGTACTCGTGCAGGTGGGGGTGCGGTAACAAAGACAGTTTGGAAAGCACCGCCGTCACTTGCAGGTTGACGTCATACGGCTGCGAGACGCAAAGCAAACGGGAGTTCAAGACTAAGTGGTCAAGTTTTAGCATACCGGGCGTGAGCTGGGCAAAGTGCTTTTAACGAAGGCCTCACCGATTCATCAGCCGGTATTAGCTCTGTTCAGCCTACAAAAATTGCCCGATTTTTCTTTTTTACACATTACAGCATAGGGAAAAGATAAAGTCATGTAAAACAGTCAAATGGTCTACCTGTAATTCGTATTTGTATTGTTGTAAATGTTAAGGGACCAAAAATGAAGTTATTTTAATTCATTACAAAAAAATTGGTCGGGCCTAATCATATTAACATTTTCGGTGAGAGAAGTCCGGTCAAGCAGACTGGCGTGAATGACAGTCGTTTTATTTAACCCTCATTGTGGAATTATGACGTCAAAAATGGCTGTGGTGGGCACAGATAGAAACTTCATTAGATACACTTACAGAATCTAATGAGATGCAATACAAGAACACAAAAAAAAAAGTCTACCTTGATAAGGTCTATAATAATACTGATAGTACTAACACCACTAAGATTACTAGTGGTGAAATAAAAAAAAAAAAAATTTTAAAAAAAGTACATCCCCAAACTGACCTGATCTAGAATGCGCCCCATCCTATCAAAGAGGACCTTAAGGAAGTGGCCCTCAAAGAAGGGGAGTTCCAAGTTGCATTTCTCAAAGGCTTTGGGGCTTCCTCTCCAGTCCCAGCGCAGACAGATGCCGCAATAGTCTCGGAACTAAGGACACCCATTCGTCGGCATTAGAATGTGCTCTTCTGGTGATGATGATGATGATGGACTCTTGAGAGGTCACCTGTCTGTGCGCGTCTCGGAGGTACGTGTCATAGCCACTTCCTTCCACAAAGTACGACGACTTTGCCTCGTCGGGCACCAAACACAGGAAACTGCAAGCGGCGATGGCGGACAAATTAAAACGCAAAAGAAGATCAACGGCGAGCGAGCGGCGAGCGTGTCGAGCAGATGGCGGACCTGTTGACGATCTTGTGAACTTCCGTTTTCCCCTCAGACTTGGAGTGGTCCGGACTGTGCGACGGAGACGGGCTGAGCCAATCGGAAGACGGCAACCTGCTGTCTGGCGAGAGGTCGTCGCCAAACAGCGGATCCTCCTCCAGGTCTCTGCACACAAAAATATTTACTGAACATTCACCTCAACCATGAATAATTATTTCACCACATATTTGACATTCTAACAGGGTCCTTACACAGCGTCATGAGGCTGCCCGTTTTCAATGGGCTCTCGTTCTTCGGGAGGTTTGTTTTCCAGGTAGTTCCTCTCCTCGAGGTTCCGCAGCACTAAACTGTGCAGGATGTGCTGGTTGGGCTTCTGGATGAGCTGCTCAAAAAGCCTCAGAGTCATGATGCTGATCTGCAAGTGATTGGGGAGGAGAAGAAGAGCCGTTCAGTTGTCGGCGTGGCGCAAGAGCAACGTGCCCGACGTTTGCTTCCTGAGAAGAAAAGAAAGCCGACAGAGGCTGTCGCAAACGTCTGATATAATTAATCCTGCATTTGTGCGAGGACAATGTGCGCGCGGTGGCTTTGTCAGATATTATTTGTGTGCTTTTGGTTGACAACATGAGTCACAGCAACGCTTTGGGTTTTTTTCTACACAGGCAGGTGGTGATTTTGGAACAAGTCAAATGAGAAGAATGCATTCCTGACAACAAAGAAAGCAACCACAATGAAAAAGCTTCATAATGGTTGACAGATGAACGATAAAACGTGACGGTGACCTCGTCTGAAAGGTGGTCACAGTGCTCGATGAGCCTGTGCCTGACGGGATTCTGAGCGATGGTAGACGGAGTCTCGGCTTCGCTCTCGTCCCCCAGGAGGAAGCGCACCATCTCTTGAAGCAGCGCCTCGGACGTCACCTGCCTGATGATCCTGTTGAGCAGGGCCGTGGAGGTGAGGATGCCCATCTCGGACCTACGATTGAGAACGCGGGCTTTAAGAAGCAAATCATGACAGAGGAATGCAAAGCGGGGGCGAGTGATGACAGGATTTACGTCTGCATAAGCTGCGGCTCCATCACACCAACAAAAAATCGTTCGCGCACCGCCTTGGCCATCACAGAGGCCGCCGACTGGAAGTACAAAAAACAAAACTTGTTTCTGCCAAGTCAAGTCGAGTCAAGCGGCAAAGTGACACATCCTCACGCGGCAAGCAAAATGACCTTCTGAGCCTCTTTAATGAGCTGGTCGCAATAATCCAGCCACGAAAGGAAGGAGATGAGAGGCCTCTTTCCCGCAAACATTGCAGCATCCTCCTTCCCATTATATACATCAAGACTGAAAAGAACAAAAAAAATAAAAATAAAAAAAATAATCGGGATATTCTTATACAACTGAACTGACATTGTATATAAACAAATAAATAAGATGGTTCTACCCCCAGTTGATGGACTCCACTGTCTCGATGTCCAAAGGGTCCATGGAGGGCGGAAGGGCGTTGTAGAGGGTGACCAGTCTGTCGGTCAGAAGCTCACAGAGCTCAGTGTTCTCAGTCAAGCACTTGGCAGCAGCGGGTTCGGGTAAACTGACCAGCAGCATGAGGCCTTCACAGGCCTTCACCACAATCCTGCCATCCTGCACAATGGACAAGCGGATACAAAATCCCAAAACAAAGTCTGGCAACACCGAAGGGTGACTTACACGGTGTGTTTACTCACGGGACTCTTGGTAAGGTTGAGCAGCGAGGTAACGAGATTATAATTGTTGTTGTTGTTGCTGTTGCTTGGACTTGAGATGGAAGCGGCCGCTTGTGCCGCCTCACTGCCTTCTGCGCGTTCTTGACCCGTGTCTGGAGCCAACGCGGCGGCCTTTGGCCCGTCCGCCCCAGCTGGACTCTTGTTCTCGTTTTTCTTAGCCTTGTTCTAGAAACAACAACACACACGTGAGTAAATGTCTAGTACTGTGTGCACTTACTGCCGTCAGACAGAAGAGCATTTATTTTTTCCTCTTCATCACTGGAATTCGCAAGCATAGATCAACAAAAATAGATTTGACCAATTGAGTGGAATTTGATCATTTCCCACAGCACATCAGGGTTAATAGCATTAGATTTTTCATTATAGTTCGGTTTTATTTCATTTTTACTTTTTAAAAAAAATTAGTTCATTGTAATTAGATTTTAGAGCAAATTTGTTAGTTTTTATTAGGTGTCTTTTTTTGTTTAGTTTTAGTATTAGTTTTTTTTATTTAAATATATAAAGCATTTTTCAGGTCCAAAAAAAAAAAAAGTATTATAAAATATTTTGGAATAAAGTGAAAGATAACTCAAACTGTTTGACCTTCCTTTTTTCTGTACTTACGAACAGCAATACTGAAATTCATGAATGATCAAGATGAAAACAAAGGATATTTTCACTACAGTTAGTGTTAGTTTTATAAACGTAAGATTTAATTTCGTTTGTTTTTTTTAAAGCAATTCCATTTTACATTTGATTTTGTTATTTTTTTCATTCGTTTTTCTGTCACTATAATAACGTTGCAGCACACCGAGTGAGAATTATTGCTCTAAGAAATGTTGACGACTATGACTTCTACTGCATTAGTGTAGATTAGTGACAGACTTTTGAGAGTTCCGACCCTCGCCATAAAGGGAGGACTGCCTGGGGACAACAACCTACCTCAAGGAAGAAGTTGACAAGATACGGATCCTGCTTTAGTTTGGCACAAACTATACAAAGGAACTGAATCTCCTCGTTTTCCGTAGGAGCAGCAAGTACGTCCCCACACAGGCGGATCAGTTTCTAGCAGAAACAGGTTAAAAATTGTTACACAACCAGTGCTTGGGCAAACTGCCAATATGGAAAAAAAAAAAAGAGTGGAAACGCTAATCATCACACCTGAACTGGTCTGTGAACATTGATGTGTGGCAGGAGAGGTTGACGGATGTGTGCTAGCAGCTTCGTGTAGAAGGTCAGGACCTGCTGCTTCATTCCTGGAGGACACTAGTAGGAAACCCATTCGTTTCACATACCACTTATCATCAATATGAAGTTCTGAAAACATCCCACAATACTTTGTGTCATCATAATAACATCAATTATTGAAAGGTTTTATGAAATATCCATCAAGTCATCGAACTGTCAAAATGAGGACAGTCAATGAGATTTTGCTATTGTTAAACTCCCTCTTGAAGACAGAATTTAAATGCACGGGTGTCTTACATCTGCCTTGCCCAAAGTGTAAAGTGTCTCCAGGATCTTGTGGTGCAGGAGATACTCCATGCAAGGTCCAGTCTCCCCAGACTCCCGTTCGAGTTCCTCCTGACTCAGAATTTCCAGCATTTGTTCCAGGTGGGACGGGATGTTGGTGTCTGTGACTGGCGCTTTGTCATCTGATAGCAGAAACAAACGTACAACGGTAAGATGCATCAAGTTCATTATCTTAAGTTGGTCGAGTGACGCTATGAATAGCTTCAGTCAAATCTTGTTAGCGTTAGCAAATAGCACAAGCAGTCAATGTTTTTTTTTTTTGTTTTTTTTTTTTTACATAAAGCCAAACTAATATGTACATAAGAACTGCAACATGCAGCAAGGGAGAGCTAGTGTGTCAGTGTGTCCCACAACGACTGAGCTGACTTGGAGCTCAGGAAGCAGGCTGGCATGTAAAGTTTCCATTGTATAATGTATCATCTTTGTAAACTGTTTTCCTCCCATCCCCAAAACAAGAGAATGGACGCTTTACTTAACTTTCCCCCATTTGTCACCGCAAAATGTGAACTAACATACTTATTGTAGAACGCCACTTCAGAAACTGATCAGAGGATTGCATAATCAAGTACAAATGCAACCTAACCACATAAACCCAGAAAAAAGCTCCACAATGACCACTATTTCAACAAAATCGTACAGAATCAAGACTATGTTCACAGGGTGGAAACGAGAGCTGAGGATCATGTTTAATATTAATGAGATCGGACTGCATCAAATTTTACTGACATGTAAAGCAAGATTTATCCACATTGCAGATGTCAGCATGGCACCTACATGTTGTAAAAGCAATAATCATCCCAAACATGCAAGAGAAGAGTCAGATGATCCCAAACGTACTGCTTTCCGAATCACTTTAAAAATATTTTCAGTATAGTAACTACAGCAATATGCTGAAACAACAGCATGGGTTTAAACTCCAAGAATGCCAAGCATTTCACATTCATTACTCATGGTAAAAGTGCTGCCTTTTCAGCATTAGACCCTTAGAGAAAGCAAACACAAATGTTCAAAACCTGCACATGACTGCATTTACCCAAAAGGTATAATAAATCAGAAACTAGTTACTGAGTCAATAATGCCATCAGGTTTTGGCCTGAGACAGATCTTACCTGACGTTTCAATGTAATAATGTGTAATGGCTTTCCAGTGATAGACAAAGTCCTCCTGCAGGGGTAGTGATGGAGCTAGCTGAAAAAAGAAAACAGTAGGAATAAATTAGACGTGTTGACATTAATCAGCTGACAAGAGCAAAGACTGTACAGTGTATCTGTTTTATAAGACAGTAAAAAGTATTTGTCCGAAAATAGTGTTGTTGTTCTTAAATAAAAACGTAATGTAGATTTGTATTCATAAAATATTTGGTCAGTTACAATTATTGATCAAAACGAATGCTTTGTATCTTGTGTCCGAATAAGTAAGTTGATGACTTTTGTTTGAAAACGTTTCGTTAAGTAGCTCCCCTCGACTGACTTGAAAGCAGCCCAAAAAAAAACACGTCACATATCAGACGGCCGTCAAAGTCCTCACCGAATGTTTGCTCAAGAGCAGTGCAACTGCAGTTGCGCAATGGAAAACTTATGTTTCACTATTGCAACACTCTAAAGATAAAACTCACTTGCGCTAAATAGCAGCAACATGAGCGTAGCTGCAGGACGCTAAAAGCAGCTAATGTTAGCGGCTAACTCGCACCATCTGCCAAGCTAGTTACACACAATCAGCTGATTACCATAAGGACAAGTGCAGTCCAGGAACTGCAACATGTCCCGAGCATATAAACAATGTTGACATTGTGCATTACTTGCTCCAATTTCCACTTAAACTGGCAGATGTAAACGCTCGTTAGCGTATGCTAGTTCGTTAGCACTGCTGACGTTTTGGTACGGACGGTCTCGATAACCGAATGCAAGTAAAATATGTTTAAAAAATAGACACAAATTAATGCAGGGTTACGTTTTTTCTCAAGACTCACCGCTTCCACTGCATGCTGGAGAATCGACGTAAATTTGGAGAACATTTTGTTCTTCGACTGAACTATTTTCTCCCGAGAAGACCTAGAGAATTCCTCTATCTTCTTCTTCCTGTTGTTGCCGCCTCGATCCAGATTGGAGCTTTCGTATAACGACCCTTGAAACGAGAGAATCGTCGTAAGTAATAAAACAATAAAACGTTTCTGGCCGCGAAAGTTCGCGGGCCATAAGCGCAGCCGCTGTAAACAACCAGACGTCGGGCGAGAACCGAGCTAGGCTAGCTCACTTTGGACACGGTGGCACTTCGCTCACCAGGCAGCCCCGTTTCCCACCAGCAGGACCCGCTCGACTACAACACACGCGGCCAGTTTGACACTGACGACGGGCAATGCATACAAATGCAACAGGGAAGCGTTCAAAAGAGTATTTTCAGTTTGGCTACAAACATTAGATGAAGGCGTTATGTGACGTCTTTCTGCCAACCAAGCAATGTAGATTTGAGAAACAATGGAAATAGCATTTTGCGTAACTCGCATACAGTCTCATAACACATGTTGAAATGTTTGTGCAAATGTTTTGGAATTGCCCAAGTCCACACGATACGGACAATGAAAAAAAAATAAAAGGTATGTAACAATTTGACATAAAAAGACAAACATGAATACCCGTTAACCCATTATTATTTGTATTGCTCAGAACGTCCGTAATTCCCGAAACAATACGGCTGATTTAAATGTTACGAAGACGCTATACTCAATAAAACGCAAGCGATCTAACCATGCCAAACATTATTAAGTTTAATATAGTGGAAAACTTCAAATCAAAAAGGATGCTGCCTATTCCCGGACACGCCCTGCTGCCAGTGTGCCATCTCCACCGTCTCGTCCGCTAAATAGCAGCCACCGTTTTCCAGGCGTTCAAATTAATGTTGAGAATGCCTGACGAAAACTTCAAGTTCAGATAAAAAACATTAACATTTGAAGCGACGCCCCGCGTTTGACTGAACTGAGCTCGTCTTCTGTTCATCGCTGCAGAGAAAGACAGTCCTACCCGGCATGTCTGCAAAAGGTGAGTGTCTTATGCCGCAGAAGCCTTCATATCAGTTGATGCGGAGGCAGGTCTCTTCATTTTGGGTAGGAGAGGGTTGAAGAACGGGTCTGTTTGCGAAATAAACCCATTGCCATCTTTCAGAGGAGCAGTGACAAAGGCATCGACTGTGTAAGTAAGTAGGTTACATCGTTGCAGCTGGAATAACCACACTGCTGCAGCCTTCAATTTATTTGATGATGTCTACACCTTGTAACCTCATGTCTAAAAATAGACCAGACATTTGAAATCATCACTTGCAAAATTCACCCCATTTGCTCTTTCAGTCAGTGGATGTTGAATGTGATCTGAGAATCACAACATACTATACTTTCTCTTGCCTCAGCAAAAACTGTGATTAATCCGTATACAATACACACACGCAGCAGCATATTTGACTTTTCTTCATCATATTAGTAGAGAGAATTCAAGGAGGGAATTCCACCTAAGTGTCTTGCGCAATGGTAGCTCTTGTGTGAGTGCTGGTGGCGGGAGGGAGCAACTGCCCGACCCTCTTTTTGAGTGAGTCAAGGTCAAGATTCATAGTTCCATACTGCCCAGTACATACTACTCTTAGCTGACTGCTTGTGGTGCATTGATACTTTTGAGAGCCGCTCTTAAGCACACAAGTCACAGACGGTGTATGTCGCTCGATGATATAAGTGAATTTTGTGCCTGTAAATATGCCATGTGATTAACTGAGGACCAGTCCGGGGTGGAGTCCACTTTTCGTCTGAGGTCTCCTCACTCCACTTCCCTTCGATTTTGAACAGGATAAGCGGTATAGACATTGGAAGAATTGACGGGTGCTTAGCACAAAAGTGGTACAATACTGTACTGATGTTCCTTTACAAAATAAATCACATTTTCCAAGGTTGTCACAAGACACAAAGAGCTGCAAACAATGCTGCTGGATGGTATTGTTGCGGTTAGATGGGAATGGATTTCAGTAAGGTTGTGCTGTTAGATATAACCCACAGCTTATCCATCCATCGGTCAGAGGACCTGCTTGAATGATAGGATGAGCTGTGGCAGACAAAGATTGCCATGACCTCAAGGTTACTGTGGGTGGATTCATAATGGTTTGAGCCTGGCTTTTTATGGTAACAGTTGTACACACACACACACACACACACACACACACACACACACAC